CTGCGGGCAGAACACCGACATTAGCCTTACCTCCTTCACATAGTGGGATATGAATAAAGCACAGTGCCATTCTCCCGCTTCCTAACAAGTAGAATCACAGAATGGTTTGGGTTGGAAGGGACCTTAAAGATCATCCAGTTCCAACCCCCCTGCCATGGGCAGGGACACCTTCCACTAGACCAGGTTGCTCAAAGCCTCATGCAGCCTGGCCTTGAAGACATCCAGGGATGGGGCATCCACAGCTTCTCTGCGCAACAAGTAATGGCATGGTTGCAGAGAGAGTTCCTGTGTTGTTCCTTGCAGCTGGTAGCGCTGCTGAGCTGGGCAAAGGGCTCCCTCAAGAACTTGTCATCCAAATGCCAAAAATCTTAGTGTCTGTAATTCCTGACATATTTAGATGAAAGGCGCTATAGAGCTTTCAAGTCAAATATTTTTAATTAAACTTGAACATACACATGCGAGTAGAAACAAGTACAAACATTATGCAAAGTTGGTTGATAAGGTTACAGTATCAAACAATAATCTCCATCAGTATCTTAGTATTTATTTAGAACTCCATATTCATCTCTTACACTTCTCAGTTACTCTAAATATGAATCAAGTTGTTTATCATCCATTCCAATTCTCTTTTTCTTTTTACAATCTGAGGATATTTTTTGTGACAGGCTTCTCAAACAACCGAACGTGCCAAATCTTTACTTCAAGCTTTTCAGATGAAGCATCATCTCAGGTTTTCAGGAATTCCGATCACTAATAAGATACTGTTTCTACTCCAATAGGGCACACAGATTGTAACATACTTTTTAATATATGTATTTAAGATAAAACTCATTGTGCAGCTTTCCACAGAGGCAAAGATTGGTGTGTTCTTGGTGCAGCTTAAGAATCAGCATTTTCAGGCCTTTGGGACAGACACACATCTCTCTGAGCATGGCAGGCCATTTTCTGGCTAGAGAGAAATCACCCAACAACAATATAAGACGATTGAATGATACACAGATTTTAAGATACCACCATTTCCCACAGAACCTCCAACTAAATGAAAAACATGTTCAGCTCATATGAAATATGATGTTAAAATATTTAAGGCTGTAGCTGGTACAAACCTGTTCTTCCACGAGCAGACACTTCCAATATATCGGCTTAAGGAATTCAATTGCACTTGGTACTAGAACTATGTACTGACTGATCACTGAGAGCCCAAAGACCACCACAAACAGCCAAGACATTAGAAACAGGAGTGGGAGTGAAGGATGTTAGTGCTCAGTAACAGTTAAAAGATCTTTAAAAAGAGAGACAACCACAAAGAGGGATATAAGTTCTTTCCCATCTCTTTTGAAGTGTAATACTAAAAGTCCTAGATTCAAAATTGCAGCAAGAAATTTGGTCACTAAGAAAATTCTCCTGAATGTACGTTAGACACTGAAATAGATGGCCAATCTCCAAAAATAAGATCTCAGAAAAATGCTGGACAAATCAGTCAGGAATCCTACAGAGTTCATCCCCCCCAATCAAGACAGAATGAATTATTTCTACGGTCCTGTCGCTCCTTTTTTTTATGATTTCATGATCACATTTTTAAGTGATATATTAGGGTGTTTCTTCCTAACAAACACTCTACAGTCTCACTAAGTTTATTCTTATGAGTATATTTAGGATAGAGTTCGGGTTCCTCACCAAGCCAGGCAAACAGATGTTTTCTTAGTAAAATATACCAGTATGAATACGCAGCAAATACACCAAACTCCTGTACCTGGAAAGGATGGCCCTAAAGACATGCCACCCAAGCATGAAGCTCACTGGATCAAAAAGACATTTGGGCCTCCATTAAAGAAAATAATCAAAAATCAAAGTTCATCTGCTAAACACTAAGCACTGCCTCATTTTCCAGGAACATAACATTTAAAGGAGTAATTTAAATAGAAAACTATTCACTGTACTGCCATTCCTGCATAAAATTACAGGAGTATTAAGAAGGGATGGGCACATCAGTATGGGGGGGAGGTGGGGGCAGGATTTGTTTTTAAAAAAGCAGAACAAAATCATTAGTGACAGTACAGAACGTGTCACGTTGGTATGCAGACAGTCTGACATACAGAAGTGCCGAATCATTTACTACTTCCCTTTTCTTCAACAAGTCATAACTTCAGGCACCTTATGCACTACATACGCTGAACAAATTAAAATATTTCTTGGCATTTAATTCGTATTTCTTACAATTCCATACAAATACTTGTAAAATCCTCTTAGGAGAGAATATTGTGGAAACAGACGAAAGGCCATTCTACCTTCTTAAGTAATAAGGGATACTTCTACCTGGAGGTCAGAGATCCTCAACAGTACTGCAGTGCCCAGGAACACAAACAAAACCTAGTTAGACCCTTAGACTGGGAAAGATACTGCTGTTGAGAGAAGAAACTGTTCTCTCCTGACAATATGTGTACACTACAAACCTCATCAAGTGGATCTTAACTGACAGACAGAAAACATCCCCAGCAACATACCAACATTTAATCCTTGTTCCACTGATGGCCCTACCAAATTTCTAACAGTCCTCGCTACCAGCTCCTGCTTTAGGTCAGTTTGGTCTAGATAATTAGTACAGGCCTGGCTTCAATCAGATTCTTCAACTGACAGCTCTATTATGCTGTACCATGGCTGGCAGGCTTAAAGAGAAGGGACTTTCCAAGTCTTTACCAACATGAATCAAGAGCTTGGAAAAAAAAGAATGTGCATTGCGTCTAATTGCAAGCCAGCACACTCGTACGTGAGCATTCAAACCATCTCTAGAAAGGAGAAAGGGTACAAGTGACCAGACTGACAGAAACAGCAGGGCTGCTTAACTGCAGGATCAAGTCAGTGCATATGAGACACCAGCCACCCCTTTGGCCAAAGGCAGGGAATCAGAGGAAGCACTATTACATGCTAAGGAGAATGGCTAGGAAAAGTGGGATTTCGCTTTTGCTTTATATTTAGTGTTGAGGCAGACATTGTGAAAGTTAATAAAAGCACGTGGTAGGACTATCCACTAGAAATAGAAACTGTATGTGATCTGTGATCTTTATAGTATTCTGAGTCCAAGCAGCTTTTAATTCTTCTTTTAAATGCTGTCAATATGGACAAGACTGGGCCCCTCTGCTGCTCGGTTTTTTCTTTTTCCTTGCCTCGTCAAAGAAACGAAGTCATAGGTTCAGCTTGTCACTAACATTAACAATTAATCAACTATCCTGATCAGTGTTAAACAACTAATTGCAATGCCTGCTTTTATTCTTCCACAGTTGGAATAAAAATGCAAGATGTCCATGGCAATATGAAAAGTAACAAAGGCTACATGCAAAGAACCTGCTTTGCCTTGCTAAAACCTCAGCATCCGAAAGCCAAGGACGGAGCAAATCTGCTCCTGTGCACAATGAAAGAGGGGTTACACATGCATTGAGTAAAGCTAATTGCCCTGGCTTACCATGAGACTTATCTGAAACAAATCACCTACGGTTTCCTGAAATAGAGCATTGTGATAAAAACTATTTCACTGTGAATGCTACTGTGGGTACTGATAACCATTTGTTTCGAAGCGCTGTACACAGTGGTGACTGGCACTGTTTTGTTTTACCACATAATAAAAGAAGTTGTGCATGATTGCTTTATTCAATTATTCATGAATAACAAACCTGTCATACCTCTTGCAGGCCACTGGGATTCCTGCAGACATATTTATATATATAAATATTTGTAGCCCAACAGAATCAATTTCTTTGAACTTGTTGTACTTTAGTCTTCCATACTTAAGCTATCATGTCTGAGGAATTAGGCATCCTCCAAGCCAGGCTGTTGTCGGCTCCATGCTGTCAATAAGGCCCTTTATGTTACTACTTTGAAAGACCACGTGGTCATTATGCAGTCCACAATTTGATGTATTTAATTTTTATGAACTGTAGGAAAACATTTACAAAAAAGTAGTTAAGACTTTGGCATTTTGACTTCCTACCCATTTCTACGGAGTAAAGCCTAGCCTCCAAGGCCTTGTTCAGCCCCTGTTAACACACTGCTCACTTCACCACAGATTACAGCAGTACTCTAAGTTTCCCCAATTAATGCTCTGAATAATTTAAGCAGCATTCTTCATAAAACACACCAAACCACCACCTCCGACGTACCACATCGCATCCCTCCTTTCCTCCTCTGCATAGACCCAAGGACAGATTTCACCCTGACAACACAATCTCACTAGGTCCCATCACGTCCTTTTCTTTAGAGCCCTAACAAATTAACTTGTCTTTTCATTAAGACAGAAGAAATTTGGTCAAGATACTTTCTAACCAAAGCCCCAGATCTTAAATATGCACACTGCCATCGAGACCAGCACTGTGAGCCCTCCACAACACCAGTGGCTCAAGGGACACTCTGCAGATAATAGATCCCTCATCAAAAGATAAGGAAATCTCATTTAGATGCAGAAGTGAAACGGTAACGTTTTAAACCCAGCCTCTAACAGAAAACATCCCCCTCCAAGACACTGCTTAAATTAGTTTCACAACACGCTGCTCAAGAAAATAAAAGCAATCTTCCCCGGCATACAGAAACCACCCTAACACCAGCATCTGCACACAACTAAATTAGGTGGTTTCAACGACCAGATGAGCAGAGCCTAGCTTTTCAACCCAACCTCAGAAACAGGCTTTTCTCTGACCAATTATCAGACCTTTCAACCTTCAGCAAAAGGAACTCAGTTAAAGAGTCTTTCAGACTCATGTTACAACTTTGAAGGATTATTTCAGTGTGATTTCAGCCATAACTGCCTGGCAGTAAAGCATCACTTTCTGAATAACTGCTAATAACTTATAGTTCTGAAAATATAAAATATAGACTACTAGGTCTCCTAAACTTGCTACTTCCCTCATCAGCTTAGGCCGCCCTTCTTTTATTTTGGCATTACACAGCATGAAACACACAAAACCAAACCGTGAGGACACACACACACGAGATGAGCCTTGGAAACTTACCCCTCCTGACAACTTAATCACCCTGACTTTGCTGCCGGCATGGGGCCCATCTCCACTACCACTGTTTGTCCGTTGCATGACAGTCCTTTTCACGCCAGGTTTCAGTTCCTGGGGCCTTGCTTGTACCGAAGCCACTCGAGCAGTCTGTGTCGTGGGCAGCGATGCTGCAGCAGGTTTCATCTGCAGTACTTTGTGCGGTGTCTGAGGCTGACTCGGAGGTACTGTCCTAGTCTGCCTCAGCTGCTTCACCGGCTTCATCTGCTGTCCTTGGTACGGCATATTCGCCCCAAACTGCGGGAAATCTGTGGGTTTGGGCTGCATATTTGGAACTACCATATCTTGCTTTTTAACAAGTAGTCTGTTTTTCACATTTTGCCTGGTCTGTAAGCCAGCATGGGGTATGTAAGGGCTGCCGTTGGCGGGGAACTCAGAGTCCTCCTCCTCCTGCTGCATGTAGGACTGTTGAGTAGGTTGCTGCTGCTGCTGCGCAAGCCTTTCGAGCAATTCTCTCTTTCTAGCACCAGCCTGCTGCTGCCGTCTCAGCTCCTTTTGTTTCAGAATTTCTTCTCTTAGACGCTTCTGCTCTTCTATCTTCAAACGATACAATCTAGTTTCTTCATCTTCATCTGGATACTACAAAGGAAAATACAAAAGAATGTATAAAATTCTCAACAAATGCCCAGCTCGGTCAAAACAACATTAAATTGTTGTTTCAAATGTCAAAGCCATAACTCTCTGAAAAGCTTTTTAAATTATCCATCGTACCAAGCTAAGGCTATTAGTGGAGTGTATCTGTTGGTAAGGTTTATGTGCTATTCGCTACAAACAGCTCAAATCTGGTTTAGGACTTAGATACACTACTTCCTAGACAGGAAAAAATAAAAGCTTTAGCACCACTTGAGAAATCTTAGCAGAATACTACCAAAAAAAAAAAAAAAAGAAGTTTTACAAATTGGAACTCATTTAGAAGCTTCTAAAACCAATTAAACTATTAATATAATTCCAGATATCAAAATATGTTTCAAATGGGAAGTAACAATACAGAGTCAACCTACTGTCACACAGGTTTTATCTTGCTCTTTTCTGACAAAGTAACAAAAGGTAGGGTGGTAAATGACCTGAAAGGCCCTGATTAGAACTATTGATTTTTCTCACAGAATTTTCAGCCTGATCTCAAACTCATTTGTCACACAATAATTGGTTATAATGAACAGCACAAGTCAATCTCTCTGACCTTGAACTCATGCACTCTCTTCAGAATCAAAATGTTGCCAAATGCAGTGTTGGAATATTAATGGTACATAGAGAATGCCTTTAATATTCCAGCCCTAGGCCCTTCTAAGAGTATTACACATCATCGAATAACCCTTCTCAAGATTCTTCAACTTTGGCACAACAGGCTCTTATGAAAAGCTGTATGAAATGGGCAAAAGTCAGGGAAATGAAGATTCTCATCATCCTAGAAAAGAAATCAAATTGCTCTTGTGATACAATCACATGCTTTTTTCCAAAATTACAAAGCATTCTTTTTCATTATATGATTTATTTTCAACTGTTTAAAAATCATAGGAACCTGTAGAGACTGCTTACAGATGGCAATGAGCATAACATTCAACTTGAGATATATAAATCACCCCTAACGAAAACAAGCCCTCAAAGTAACAACACTTCCCATTTTTGTAAATTAGAGCATAAAGAATGCCAAAATGTTTCTAAAGTGCTGGGAATTCGTGATGAAGTTATTTACCTTGCAGTCACTGGGTGCAAGCTCTTGTCAACATAAATGCCATTTTTTGCACATATAGGACCCAAATGTGTAACAATTATTTTTTGAATTCAAGTGCCTTTACCTCTGATGTATCTCAAAATCCTCCCCAACCCAAGGAAAAACAGAGCAGAACAGATCCAACCATAAAGTTGGTTCGCAGATACAAAAGCCCAGTAAAGCAGCATTTGTAATAGTAGAATCCTGCCCTAAATCCTGAATGTTTCCTTCAGATATAACTGCTTCTTCCCTGAGCACCTACTGATGGGGATTATTCCCACAGTGACTGAGAAATAGCTGTATGTCTCACACTACAATTCCAGCTGAAATTATGGTTAAGACTTTAACAAAACTGGATTTTTAAACTATTATTATTATTACATATGGGCTATAGCTCTGAGATAAAGTCTAACGCCGTGCTTTTTAGGAGAAAGGTTCATCTACCAAAGGGTTCTAATCCTCTGCCATACTTTTGAGACTACGACAGTGGTGATTAATGGCTAATCACTAACAACTACATTACAGGTCTTCATTAATAAACAGGAACAGGAATGTAGTTATACAAAGTAAAATGGGCAGTGGCAGGAAACTCAAATATGTCATCTTAAATTGAAAACTGGAGATGGATTGTTAAAAAAGGCCCTTACAAAATACAGTAAAAGGTTAAGACCCTTAATATAATTTGCATAGGATGCCAAACTACAGATAAGCTCTAGATAAGAGGAGGATGTGCTGTTATACAGATCCTCATGCAATGAATAAGATTTTTCAGTCACTTTCAGAGACAGGAAGTATCTCAATTACTGAATCTGTCCAAGCACAAAACCTCTTCCACTTAATGAATTCATTTATTCGCTCGCTTTGCTTTAGGTCAGAATATTCTGCATTTTATCTAAATGGGTTTGATGGATGCCAGTGAGTCAGTACCAAATTTACCTCTGCAGGTAGCACTTCTTTTTTGTTTTTTTTTATTGTTCAATGGAGAGTGTCAGTACTAGCAAGAACCTGCCTGAGACCAGCTCTTCGGTCAGCTTCCTTTATTATCAGGGACCTGTCTGGTCATATCACCATCTAACCAGTTCTGAAGGCCTTGGAAGATGCACATCACAATCCAGTAAGTACAAAACACAAACTCAAAGCCTACATACAGCGGAGATGCATACTCCATGGCATACTTAAATACATCTTGCCAGCAGAAAAGGCACGAACATCCCAAAAGACAGCCAGATCTCTGCACCACAGTCAGATACACGGATTTCAAATACACTAGCATTAAACACTGGCTTTGAAATCAAGGACCACGAGCTCTGAGGTCATATGACAACCGCAGATCAGCCTGTTACCAGGCTATAGGTAGACCTAAACCCTTCATCTTCATGAGCAGGTTGCTACTACTTTAAGTTCTCAGTAAAATACCCTTGCAGCTAGAGTAAGACCAAACAATATGACCCCCTGATCATCAGAATATTTGAATTGGGAATCAGATTTAACTGGAATTAGTTGTGCAATGACCCAACAGTACAGATACAGAATGGACAATCTCCTCACTAGGCTAAAAACAAGCTAAATCCTCTGGTGCTTAGCTTTAAGAGCACCTTACACAAACTACACTATCGTACTGTGTGTATGCACATATGATGTATACTATATATAGACTACCTATACTATGTAATACGGACCTTCATCATACAGAACAGGCAAGACAGTAGATCGGGGTCAGGATGAAATTCCTATTGCTAATGATTTCCATCACATTAGTTTAACAAGTCCAGTACAGATTTCTCCAATAAGCAGTAGCACTGCCTGAAAACCCAAACCAAGCAAATCCAAAAAACCAAACCAAACAAAAAAGCAACTGGGAGAAAATAGACATCCTCCAAAATAGTCATCAAGTTCACAGCTTGTATTTTGAAGTTTCCTGCAAAAAGCAACATTATCTGTAGGTGAAGAAGCAGAACTTCTTGAAGCAGCCTTTTCCCTAGACAAACTCCTGACATTTCACCTTTTTCTACAGAAAACTCCACATCGTGAAGAACGGTTTGTTGTATATGGCCCCTTCTTTTACAGGAGCCTACAGAGTGCAAGGCCAGGAATGCAAAGCAGTTCCCTTGGTTTTGTGGAGGGTTTTTTCTCTGTTGGGTTTTGAGGGTGATGGTTGGTTTTGTTTGATGTTGTTTAGGTTTCTTGGTTTGGTGGATAGTGGGTTTTTTTGTTGTGGCTTTTTATTTTTTTAAAAAAGTGGATACTCATCTGTCTTTGGACAGTTCCTGACCACAGTGCATTTCATTGTAGTCTGGAGAGAAGAACAAGGCTTAGCTACAGGTTTTCTTCTGCCTTAAGGTCCAAAGAGGCTTTGATGTAAAGTGCCAAAAGAAAATGTTACAGCTGCTTTTCCAAGAGTAACCGCAGAGCTGCAGTGAGAGAAGCAGCAGTCCTACAACATCCTGTAGAGAACTTAGAGTGACACTGTTCACTGAAAACACCAAAAGACAAGCTCTAAAACAAGGAGTTACCACTTAAATTAAGTCCTAGTATCAATAGTTTGTCCCTCATACTGTGAATTAAAGAAAAACAATCCCCCCACCTTTTTAGAGGTCTGCAGGCTTTATTACTAGTTAATAGAATTAAATGCAGAGTCATAAGAACCAGATACTCTAAGTGTTCTGGCTTGCTATCAAGGAACAAAAAAGGAATCATATAAGCAGGTGCCTGTGTCCCTCTGCAGAATGGGTGCAAGGACAGAGCAAACAAAAGGGTTTGATCTGTAGCATATACACAGATCTGTTCAGCAGATTTATCTTTAGTTTTTCAGCTGTAACACTAGAAGCCAAACAGGCTAGAATCGTTTGATCAACAATTCATGACAAGCCTTCATAAAAGGTAAAGGCAGATCTAAATTACATCACTTGGCTGCTTGTGTTCAAAACCACCAAGTATCTTAAAGGCAGGCTGCATACACACTACACATTTCACATTACTGATGGTGCCCAGGAATGTACAAATCACCCTAACAAAGCACAGTTGCTGTGCATCTTGGACAAACAGGAAGAGTGTTAGGATCAAGGTTACAAGGAACTTTGAGAAACACGCTGTCCTCTTACAATCTTCCAACTGGAAAACGACTGTGATATGAAGAAGCTTCTAAGCACAAGACAGGAGGCACCATCATAAAAATTTGGAAATCAAACCTATTTATACTGCAGAAAACTGAAATTTAGACAGGTACAATTTTTTCAGGTAGTTAATTTCCAAAAATATGGAAAGTATTTAGATACACTTGCTCCAATAGCAATGCAGGAACTACTTTCCATATTGCAGGTCTTTTTAAAAAAAGACAGCAACATATAACCCAAGAACTCAACTTCACATTCCATTATCCCAAATCTGGTAAATGTGAAGGTTTTCCTTCAGTACACCAGGGACATTAACTGCAATAAGTAATACTATCAGTACACTTATGATTATGCAATTCTATTAATTTCTCTCCTGTGCTGAGCTCCAATATCCACTTCTAAAGAGAATCACATCACCTGTCTCCATTCCTCCCCTTCTTTATACTAAGAAATGCTTAACATTGCCTTAATTGCTTTTATCCTAAACTGACCTTAACATGAGCAGACTCAGACCCACCATCATCAACCACACTTGACAAAATGATTTTTCAGACTGACAATATGCAATTTTAAGTCTTGGAGAGTAACAGTTGTTCTAAAGAAAGGCATTTAAAGTCAGTATTTCACAGTCTCACAGGAACACAAGCATACCATTAGTAAAGTAGAAACGTAGTTTTTAATCTCCTAGTCACCCAGGTTGCAAACTTTTCAAAATACCTATTTTGAAGTTGAGCAAAACCTTTAATAGCCAATATTACTATTTTTGGGACTTTCTGAATGATAGGGCATTCATAAACATGGGCACTGACTCTTTGCAAAGAAGGATGCAAAGAAAAGTCTTAATTTTCCAGCTGAAGACACTTGCAAAATAACCTGCCCAACTCAGTTTTGAGCAATACAGCTAGAAAAGATGATAGAACTTAACTCTCTCATCTTCATAAAAAGCAAAAGAACAGGATGAAGTCAGCTAATGACAAGAAAAACACACAAAGACAACAGGAAAACTTTCCAGTCTACCTGAGGAGATAAATGTAATAACCTACATTACAACAGTAGTGTAGAACATGACTAAATACTTGGAAATGAACACCACCTAACACAGCGATGCTGTTTGTATTAGTGGCAATGCACAGCATCAGTGAAGACGACTACCGCAGCGGCAGAGCTGAAAGGGGAGAGCTGCTGCTGCACCGCTGCTCGCAGAACGGGGCTCTTCTTCAAGTCTGCTTTGAAAGGAGAAGGGTTCTGTGTGCATGTACATTCTCACACTTTTCTAGTACTTGCTAAGTGTATCGACAAAGGCTCTATTCTTATGGTTAATAACTGCAATACTAGGGGACATCATTTTTTCCAAAGCAAATTTTTTTTAACCTGTTTTGCAAAAAGTTAAATGCAACAAGTATCAAACTGTTTTCAAAGATAGCTTTGGCACAGAAATGAAAAGAAAGCTTTATTTGTAAAACCAGGAATTCATACAAGTAAGATTAGTCGGTCTTATACCCACAGATTTGTTTGAATTTTAAGTTTTAAATGTATCCTAACAACAAGATGACTGATCTGTTTGGTTGTGGTGTTGTTGTTTTAATGTCATTTTGTTTTGTGGGGTTTTTGTTGTTGTTTTGGGTTTTTTTAAATTCACTTGATTAAGAGGAGTGAAAAATATGAAACACTACCAGAGATATTTTTGAACTAATTTATAGTTCAGTCATATGAAAATTAAGAAAAGAACTTTAAGATACTTTAGCTGGGGAGGCCTGTAGGTGATTTGCTGCAAAACTTCATGTCCTGAAAGATGGAGGCTTCTCTAAAAGGCACTGCATTTTGTGACTTTGATTATTCAAAGAGACTAAATGGAGGGGAAGAGCATTAAGCAATTTTTTCAAAAAAGATCAAAATTAAAAGCTGAGAAATGATAATTTTTGTTTTTATATTACCATTGGAAAGCAAGTACACAGGAGGTCAGACACTGCTAGCTATGGGTTTCTTCTGTGCCTCATTTGTGAAAATTAGTTATGACCATCCGTAATGCAAGAACAGGATGAAAAGCTAATCATGAGCAGCTTAAAGGGAAGACAGTATTACCACAATTAGAGCTTTCAACACTTGCTGAAGAAAAGCTAGTCTTTGAGACAAGATTCATGGTCAATGAAACTATAAAGGCACACAGCTCTGCTCAGAATAACCTGATACTTAGAAATTGGGTGTATTTAGCTATCATGTTCCTCTGGTACCTCCTGATGTTCAGGATTAACAGCACCATCAGTGCAATCCTACCCACTCTCTCAAACTAACAGTGCTCATGGAGTCTAGCTTCCAGGACGATCTGTGCAGGTAAATGGTCCTCTGTTCACACAGCATCCAGTGGAGCCCAGAACACTGGCATCTGACTTTTTTGATTACTAGCAGAGCAAACAGCATCATTTTCTCCAAAATTAAAACCATGAGCATTTCTTATCTTCCCCTCACAACAAAAGGTTTCATTGAAGAGATTTTTCTTCAAGAAGCAGCAGCTTCATGGATGATGCAGCTGCAGCCTCCTGCATGAGTGTTCAAGACCACAGAGGAGACAGGGCAGCCTAAAGGAAAACAGCATGAGGAAGATCACACTCTTCACCAGCCCTTTTTTCTGAATCATAAAGCATCATAGGAAATAGAAGAGGTTTTCTGATTTAGAAAAAAGTGGTTACCCGGAAAAAAAAATCATGATCATAATGCTGGAAGACAAAAATGGGCACAATGGATATTTATTTCAGAGGCCTGTATCACTGATGACCTTTACACACCGCCCTCTTTTCATCGTAGAAATGAATCCTCCTCCTGCAGAACATACTCACCACAGCCCTGCCAATATTCCAGACTTCTTTTTTTATCAATGGAGACTGGTTTTGCTATCACATTAAAGAGGAAAGTGCCACTCAGAAGGGAGGCCTCTAGTGGCACCAAAAATATTGGGTGAATAATACATTAAGCATGTTTACAGTTCACCAATCAGACTACAAAAGTTATAAGGTGAGAGTTTTTTGTTTGTGTGGCTTGTTTTTTATTTTTTGTTTGTTTGTTTTTTAAGAAATGCCTTACCTCTGGTTCAGATTTTACTTCTGATTTTGCTTGGCCCACTGGTGTGATTGTTTTGGCTTTCATCTCAGGCCTTCCCTGGGAGTTTCCAACACCAGCTACAGGCTTGGTGGCAGACATCGTGCTGGTAATGGGTTTGACCTGAGCAGCTGGGGTAGAGGTTCGCCTGTTGTTGCTCATTTCCATAGCATGGGATGGTGCTATCGGCAACTCACGCAAGTTACTATTTCTTGGAGCGGTTGATTGTAGCTGCTGATTTGGACGCTTGACAATATTTTGTGACGGTGTACTCTGAAAAACAGAACATGAAAAAAATTGCAGACATGCACTACAAACCAGACTAAAGTGTTTCTTGTTTCACATTTCTATGATCTGATGAAGTTTGGGGAAAAAAGCTTTTCAAAGAAACACAGTAGTTTTAATGTGAAAGAAAAAATTACAGAAATGAGAACATTTTAACAATGGGTTTATTTTTCTTTAATTAAGAGCAAACCTGAATCTCACTTGTTTAACATCTTTCTCAGAAATTGGCTTCACTGTGTGTTTTATTTTTCTAATCAAAGCAATTACTCTGAACCACAGTCTCATTGTCTTGAGCGTTGCTTCATACCATTATACCACCCCAACCTACCAAGCAACAGAATATGCTGTACTGGAGCAAACTCACATGACATGAGTGGCGCTATCTGAACCAGAAACCTCATTAGCAGTGGTACAGAGAGGCTTTCAGACTGAAAGATGGTGTCAGAGAACTGGGCTCTCACAGAATCACAGGCTACCAGCATATTAAAAATCTTACTAAACAAACCTATCCTCCAAAAACCCTTTACTGCCAGTTTTTGGGCAACAGCATTACCTATTATTGGACTCTGATCAAGAAAAACACTGAAGGCTGGACGAGAAAAGAAAAAGGGGAAAAATACACATACTATTTGTGGGTGTAAGTTTAAAAAATTATCAGGGAAGGAAAAGAGCAAAAAATGGTGAGAGAAGGCGACAGCAGAGTATGAAACAGAACTGGAAAAGCACGCTGGTAAGTTTTTGAAGCCTGTGCTTACATGCCTGTTACACATGCAGTAATACACAAGGCAACACTGACGGATGTGGTACTTACATGTCTTGGCTTCATTGGACCCTGTCGTGGCTGACACTGCATCCTGTTGTTATTCGGCTGCTGCTGTGCGGGCTGCATATGAGGCCTGAACTGTGGCTGGTTCATGGGCATCAAGGGCTGTGGCGGCCCTTGGAGATGATGATGGTGTTGCTGTTGCTGCTGCTGGTGATGGTGCTGCTGCTGCTGCTGGTGATGGTGCTGCTGAGGCTGAGGTTGTGGCTGAGGCTGTAACGGAGGATGCAGAGGACCCTTCACATGAAGAGAAGGATTATTTGGTTTTAGTTTCAAGGTAATAAACTCCTTAAAGGTAGATCATAAGTGCTCAAAACACCTGTAAGTGACTATGGACCAGGCTAAACCAAAAATATACTGATGAAAACCAGACTAACAGAAGCTATGCAATGTAGTTCTACACTTAAACCTGTGTAAAACCAACAGCTGCCATGGAAAAGGGTTTTTGCCCTCTTCCCCTTTATCTGATATCTTTTAAACTGTTTGCGTTTCGACGGGTGGTTTTTCATAGGGGTTCCTCCCTATTTTTGTTCCCACACACACCAGATTTCATTATTTCATAGTATCAGCAAATCATTTAGGTTGGAAAAGACCTTTAACATCACCAAGTCCAATCATTAACCCAACACTGCCAAGCCCACCACTAACCCAGGTCCCTAAATGCCTTATCTACACAACTCATACCTCCAGGGACAGCGACTCAATTACTTCCCTGGGCAGCCCCTTCCAATGCCTGACAACAACCCATTCAGTGAGGAAACTTTTCCTAATATCCAATCTA